ACCCCCCCCCCCCCCCCCCCCCCCGCCGCCGCCGCGGCGCGCTTGTCGTGTTGTTATCTTGGGTTGGTGTTCGTCGTCGTCATCGTCGTCGTCGTCCCCCAGGACCTGTACAAGACGGTGTGGGAGATCAAGCAGAAGGTGGTGATCGACATGTCGGCGGACAGAGGAGCCTTCATCTGCCAGTCGCAGTCCATGAACGTGCACATGGCCGATCCCACTCAGGTGAGACACAGGCGGAGAGAGGCAGAGAGAGAGAGAGAGAGAACGAGAGGTGCGCGAGTGCCCTTCGACAAGCTGTTGTGTTGCCGGAGGCTGGTGTTGATGGTGTAGTGTTTTAAGTTCTGTACTGTAGTGCTGCGATCAAATTGAAGTAAAATGACAAGGGGTCTCCCGATGCTGTGTACCAAAAAGAAGAGGTCGATGGGCTGTGTCACGCTCGCCGGTCGAAAACGATAAAAGAGACCTGTTTACCATGGTGTTACCATGGTGCGAAGTAAAATAATTATATCTTTTGAGGAGGTCGGGATATATGGAGATTCAGGAAGTGAAGAGTAGGATCTGAGGGCTCTCCGCTCACCCGGAGTAGCGGGCTCCATACTGAATGTAATTTTGTTTTATTTAGTTGTTTTTTGGGTGTTTGGAGGACAAGTCTAACGCGTGTACCGTACCGTACCGCACGCTTTTATTGTCGTGCCGGGGGGTGGGTGTGCTCGGCCGGCGCTTCTCCCTCCGAACGCAGGGTAAGCTGACTTCCATGCACTTCTACTCGTGGAAGAAGGGCCTCAAGACCGGCATGTACTACCTTCGAACCAAGCCGAAGGCCCACGCAATCCAGTTCACCGTAGACCAGGAGGTGAGTACCGTAGGTGCCATGACACGAGATACCACCCCCCCCTGGACCGATTTTCAAAGCTCCATTACTCCATGACGAAGAGGATGCCGCGATTCTAATTATGCGTTTTCGGAAAGCTCTCTTGACGAGACGGTCCCAACGCCGCCATTGCCGGCACCGCAACTGCTATTCCTGCCGAGTAATCGAGCTTTAAAAATCGGTCCAGAGGGGGTGGTATCTTACGCAGCCTATGGTGGTGGTGGTGGTTGTGGTGGTGCGTTCTTCTTCTCTTCTTCTTCTTTTCTCACATTGGAGTTCGCCTGTGGTGTCTTTGGCCCTCGGCCGCAAACGTGCCGGGGCCCAGAGAAGAGCATTGCGGTCGGAAAAGTGTTGGTGTTGTGCCCGCGGGGATAGATAGTCCACGACACGGTGTGCTAGGGTTTTGGCCTCTTCTCCGTTCTTGTTCCCGGTGTGTTATCTCCCCAGACTACGCTAGATAGAGGGTTGACGGGGTCGTGTTGTTCAGCCCCAAGGAGGTTGGAATGTCTCCCCTCATCTTTGACATGCCATGATCGATCGCTTTTTTTGTTGAGCAGAGATGACGTTTGGTTACCGACTTGGTTTTTGTCTCGATCAATGCCTTCTTCTTCCTACATACGGCCTTCGAGCCCTCCACCCTACCCCCACACGCACGCACGTCTGTTTGTCCGTCGGTCGGTGCAGTCATTAGCGGCAGCGGTGAGGGAACAGGCTCTGCTGCGGCGGGAGGGCAAGGGTGGCGACGAGTCCGCCAAGGCTAACGAGGAGGAGGACGACGGGGAATGCCTAACCTGCTCCGCCTAATGTTCCTGCCAGAACAGTGTTGTAGTCTAATACTACGATAGTTTTGATTACATGTCATGAAGAACGTGGGCGGCATCGCAGTGCAGGGAACGTATGGCGGAGGAGTGCTGCTCTGCTCACACAACGACCTCTCTATGCGCTGCTTCTCTCAAATGTACATAACGATTGTGCCTCAACTGATGTTGCATTCATTTTCCGAGGGTCAGGGGAAAGTTTGTTTTTGGTGTCATGGCAGCAAGTGTTGCTGTTCGCCATGTGAGACCTATCATAGCTCGTGTGATAGGCAGTGATTCCTGTCTGATGTGCCCCCTGGTGGGTGTTCGAGAGCTTGGCACTGTGAGTTGAAAGCGAGACACCGACCTCGGCAGCCGTGATGTTCGATTATGATTTTGAATTTTTCTGCGTGGGACTTGTTATGACTGATTTGTCGATATGCATTATGCATGATAACCGTGTGGAAGTTGAAAATGTTGGTTGAGTGGTGGTTGGATTGTAATATTACTCCGAGACGGTAACACGCGTCGCGCCAAACCAAGCGTAGGATTGAGACTACGTGGAAGCAACCGTGCTGGGCTGTGCGCTATAAAAGCCGAAATCAAACCATGAGACTAGTCAGCGCTGACTAGTCTAATGGTTTGATTTCGGCTTCTATATTCTATAGCGCGGCCCTGAGCGGATGATATTTTCTCACGCCGGCTGCGGCGTGGCTGCTTTGTTGTGTTGCCTGCTCGTGGTGCACGAGCCAATTGTTGCCTCGTGACTGATTAGAACGCTGCATGCATTCCAACGAGAACGGAAGGCAGAGCGGGCGACCGACTGGTGGAGTGAGGCTCTCGCGCGGGCAAGTCCCACGCAGACGTGTTTGACGAAAGTGCGACGTCTCGGAAACACGACGACCTGAGTCTTCGTTTCGCCTTTCCTTGTATGTCGTCGACGCCTTTTGGCTTTGCAAGAACAACGATGAGGATGGGCATATTTGCCTTGGACGGAAGACGTCCAGTCCACGTCAGTTGGACCGGCACGGATATCAGAAGGTACTCTGAGCGGAGACCGGAACGTAACAAGTTCGCGAGGTTTCCGTTTTCGCTCTCCTTGTTACAAAGGAGTGCTGCTTTGCTACAATGCAGCTTTTCATGGGCCCTTGGCGCCGAGAAGGGACCCTTGAATGCTCGCACCCGCCCTAATCAGCGCTCTCAACGGTCGCCGAGTTCTTCTGCAGCCGCATGAAGCGGCGTGAAGCCTGTACCACCGCCGTTGAGAGGGTCCGAGGCTTTGTTTGCCACAAGACTGCTCCGGCCCCAAACACCATGTGAATCTCGTACCAAGTGAAAATGTACCGTCGTCATCGTTGTTCAGCAGGTCCTTCGAATACCTGGGTGAAACCTTCGGCGGCGGTCATCATCTGGAAGAGGGTCGAGCGATAATATGTCTCATGCTTGTGGAGAGAAGGGTCTACAACAGCAGCAGCAGTCTTTGACGCTGTTCATGATACGACTGACTCTGTTTACGTACGCATACCAGGTATTTGTAGGTCATTTCTAGGCTGTTCAGAGGTACAGATTGGTGGCACGTCGCCTGCTGCAGAGAGAGAGATTGGCGTGGGCAGCGTCGCGGACAGAGGTAGGGTTAGGCGGCAACGTGCAACATGACAGCAACGCACACCGTCGAAGGATAGAATACAGGAGCAGGCAGAGGTGCCAAGAAGATACAGAAGGGGACCCGTGGGGTGAAAATGCACCCCCCGTCACTTCGTCGACGACTAGTAACAACACTCCGTGTGCTTTGTCCGCTGTCCAGGGCGCTGCTGCTGCTGCTGCTGCTGTCGACTCAACCAATCTCACTAGCCTACCACACCAGTCAGTGGCAACAGTCTACCGAGCTTCAATTGTGGACGGCAACGGCGCAGACAGCAAGACACGCGGCGAAAAACATTCGGCGGTGCTGACAACCCTGGTTGCTGTGAGAGAAAGCAGGGTTCTCTACACGACTTGTCTCCTCGTGCCAGCATGGCGAAGGCGCGAAGAGGGAGAGGCAGAATGGTTGCCGCTTCCACGCTGTCGCTATCGGTCGTGTCTACGGCCGGCTTCCTCTTGGCAGGGTTGGCAAATCGGAACTCCTTTTGCGCCACCCAGCATGGGCTTGGGTGCGGGATGATGGCATCTGCGACCAATGTGGCATCTGCAGGTGGTTCGGCCATGGCCGCTGAGGTGCAAAGCAACGGCGATGTGACAGCAGCAGCAGCCTTTGCGGGCGACGCAGGTAGAGGAGGAGGATCAGCAGCTAGTGGTGAGGTGTTTCGAATAGAAACATCAGCAGTGATTCCCGGGTCACACGTGGCGACTTCTATGCATACGTACGGCGACACCTGTCCGATGATGATATGATTCGCAAAATCGGGTCTGTCGTCTGTGAGCGGCACTCACGGCACGAAACAACCCACCCACTTACACAGCATACTGCTGTAGGGTATCAGCGCTTTGCGATACAAAGGTGTATGAAGGTTACCAGCTTGTTGCGACCATCAACACGGTCATCAACGCTATTTATTACGTGTCAAGCGGAAATCCGATAACCAGCTCAAGTGCGGCGGAACGGTGGAACCACCCCTGGAGGTGACGGTTGCGATCTAAGTTCGGTAAACTGGTAACAGACTAGTGGTACAGCAGTACACTGGCACTGCTGTACAGTACAAAGGCAGCACAGCAACACCATCTGCACCACACCAAAAGCGCAACCTACAGCAGCAGGCGAAGTTGTACAATATCAGCAAGCAGAGCTGCTCCTGGGTTTTCGTCTATGTATGCACACAGAAATTTCTTACAGAAAATTATCGGCCGCCAGAAAGCGGATGATGCAGTTGCTGCTCGTAACGCCGGCGTGCCAACAATGTTCGGCACTACTGCTGCTGTCCTATGGCATGCATGGGAAGTCCGCTCTTGGGGATGCAATCCCGTTCAGATTTTTCCGGCCGCCAAGATCCATCCAACCACCTCAACAGTTTACACGCAGCGGAGACCAGTACCATACAGAGCTTTCGAGGGCTTCGAGGGCCTGGTCTTGCCGCTATTCGAGGTTGACCAATCAGGAGACAACCCACGTTCCTGATGCATCTTCTTGTTATGTATGTACTACGATCCTTTATTTGACGGGCTGGTTTTGCTTTTCCACGTTAACCAATCACAAGACAACCCCACGTTCCTGATGCGCCTCTCTTGTTCCTATGATCCCTTTTGGGACGAACAACATCGGAAACAGGGTCCTCGACAAAGCGGCGGCGGGTGAGTTCGGACGTGACAACGCGGTTCCCGATCACGGTGGTTGAGAAACAGCCACGCCGATTGGTCGTTATCGCCGACGTGCACGGGGACTTAGGTGCGCAAGGATAAGGGGATATCGGGGGCGGGGATTTAGAACCATGGTGGGGGCGGGGCGTACTCACGTTTTGCATGCCTTAGCTGATAGACCATTGACCACGTGTCCTCGAGAAGACGGAGAATTGTTCCACAGGACCGATCACCGATGATGGCCGATCGTTCCTTCCTGCTTTGCCAAAGGTGGTTGCTCTAACATGTTTTCCCTAGCCTATCTACAGTTTCGGCCCGGCGGTACAGGAAATGCGTCCAGTACTGTACGCTATGGACACAGAGGCTGAGATTGATCCGATCTCATGTCCTTGGACGTGCCGGTGTCCGGTTCTTCGATATATCTCCACCCCGAAAACATTAATATGCCCATACCATTTGTAAGTAAAACGACGGTCGAATGACGACGCTCCTAGCAGTATATAACTTAAGAGTGATACAGTAACCCCTTTCTGTGACCTTCTGTGACCACAGCAGTTCCGATTGCTGTGTCTGCAGAAGGATTGCAAACACACACGGATCTCCTCGGTGCTGTACAATATCATCCTTTCGTGTGCATGTCTTGGTGAATGTTTGCACACATGTAAGATGTCGGAGCATTTGAGCCAGTTCTCGAGAGGAGGAGGAGGAGGAGGCACACCTTTATCTCAGTCACGCAAGGGTTAATGCAATTTCGACAGGCGCTTTCGCGGAGACCCTCCTTGCGGCGGGGCTTGTGGACGGCACCGGGAACTGGGCCGCGGGGGAGACCGTGCTGGTTCAGGCGGGCGACGTGTTCGACAGGTGCGCGGAACCGGCTTGACTGCTGTTATTTCTCCGAGCATGATGTTGGGCGTGCGTGTGTCGGTGCTTCGGAAACCTCATGTCATGTGCCTGGGGGAGGGGGTCGATGTTATCGAGATCGATGTGCGCGTCGCAGTGCTGCGCTGTGTTCTGCTGGTCTGCCGGTCTGTCCCATGTAGTCGGCGACTACACGTATTTAGACAACGCATACGGCGCAGAAGAGAACGTCCCAGCAACGAACAGAACAGTTTATCTAAACCTGTTTTTCGATACATGCCCCCCCCCCCGCCCTTTTTCAGAGGAGACGCGGACCTGGAGGTGGAAGAGTGGCTTTGGACTCTGCAGGAGCAGGCCACGGAGAGCGGGGGCGCCGTGTATCATCTCCTCGGGAACCACGAGGTACCGTAGAGAGAGAGAGAGAGAGAGAGAGAGAGAGAGAGAGAGAGAGAGAGCTGCAACAGTGACGCAAGAATGGTAGTTTTGTGAAAGGAGAGAATCTTCTTCGGCAGACAGACGTTGGGGAGATGGGAGATCGTACCCTTTTATGAAGAAGAAGGGGATCTCCACAGTTTGATCGTGTAGCGTGGCACAAGGGGGGGAGCATGACGTGGCTGCTGCAGCTTGTGAGGAGACGTGTAGGAGCGATTTTTGGGGTGCAGGGGGTGACGGCGAAGATGGCCCCGCCAGCACGCCATCTGGTATCGGGCAAGGCTGTGTCCGGTTTGAGAGAGAATCGGGGGTTCAGGGCGGGGGAGTACGGCCTGGCACAGCTCTTTCTCTCTCTCTCTCTCTCTCTCTCTCTCTCCCTCTCTCGGACTGCACATTTGCGTGCCGTGATCAAAACCCATGACTGCTGGTCGACGGCACACCTTTTCCGTGTACCCCGCTACACACTACCCTTCCTTGCACCAGATAATGAACGCCATGGGCGACCATTCCACCGCGTCTCCGAATTCGTTCAAGCCCTTCCAAGACCTTGACGTCGACCTCGCGGTGAGTGACAAGAGTCAGAGGGGAGGAAGGAGGGGGAGATTGCTGAGTGATTCTCAACGCACGTGGAAGGCTCAAAACAACTATAGTAACTGCATTGTCGGCAAACGTAAGTTGTTTCTGCACTCTTTTGGTAGTCCGTTACGGTGAGCCCGTAACCGCTCGCAGACGGTACACACACACACACACACACACACACACACACTCAACCGCACTAAGACTGACGTCTTTTCATTGGTCAGCTAGTTAGCGCGGTCGATGCTAGTAATAAAAAAACACACACACACACACACACACACACACACCCGTGTACCCGCTGATTCTGAAATGTTTCCTCCGGTCAGTATTGCGGTCGAGGCACGAGACACGCGCATGCCCACGACAATTTATGCGGACGGGCATGGGTGGCGGCAAACACCGTTTCACTTCGTAGGGCATGGTCGGTGAATCTCCGCCTGTTGAGGGAGTGAACGACCTTCTGTAAATCGCCACTCAAGCTCGAGGGGAATCGAGCGCTCCCCTGGGAGGGCTCAAGCCCCTTCTGAACCGATCGGTGCGCCCCGTCTATGGAGGAAAGGCTTAGCTGACTGCTGTGTCTTCAAGACCCCATCCTACCTTAGACATGACGCAGCATTGTTTTTCGTCGGCGGTGGTGACGGTACCTCCCGTGTGATTTCTGCGTGTCTGTGCACGTGCGGTCAGTGCCGCTTGCAAGCGAACACAAGGCGGCCTCTTAAACAGCGGCGATTGATGAATGATGCTTGAAAACTAAAACGGCTTTCTTGTACTGCTGCTGCCTTCCGTGTGTTTGTTTTTTGTCTGGTCGTGTGCCGTATGCAGCCGTTCGGGAGCCAGCTGGACAAGTTCCCCGACTGGGGGAAGCCGAGGCTGGCGGCGATGGCGCCGGGCGGTCCCGTATCGAAGATGCTGGCCTCGCACTCCGTCGCCATGAAGGTGTTGTTGTTTATGTTATTGTTCTTGCTATCGTCGTTGTCGATGTCGTTGTTGTGCGTGTTGTCTGTGATGTTGTCAAGAGTGTTGTTGGTGCATTGTGGTTGTTTTGCGAAGAAACCATTCTCGGCTCCATCCGGATGCATCCTCCCGTACTCTTTCCGAAATACAAACGAAAAACCATGAAATGTCTGCGTTAACAAGTCAACTAATAATTCGTTTCATGAAGATATACATGTAGCCAACAAGCTAAAACCACGCTCGATTGCATCGGTACATGCACGAATTCGGCAAACCGACTGGTATTGCTTGGTCGGTTCCATGACGTATGTAGCACCGTAAACATCATTATTACGAAAATTGCACACACCACCCCCGCGGTTTGTCTAAGACAGACGCGTTGAGCGCTTAGGCATGGTCCTCCGGCATGCTGGTTCTCCACTCTGGTCACCATGAACTAAGGTCTTGGGTCCGGAGTAGGACATGACAAGGAGGTTAAACGGCATGTGTGATCCGCTTGCATGACGGTGGGTGTACGGCTCCCCCCCGTCCTCCTCCCTCTTGCAGTTTTTTTCTCCCCCTGGTTCACGCGCCCCCCGGTGCTTGCCATCGGGGTTGGGTTTTCGTCGCTTGGCAACGACGTTGTTAAACAAGTCAATTCACTTCGTGAACTCGGCAACCAGGTTACCGTTTTTTTTTTTGCGGTAGCCATAATGGTGGTCGAATGGATCATGTTGTGCGGGGTCGAGAACCCTCACTCCGCGCAAAGGGGATGATCGCACCACGTTGTGTTAAAATGGTAAAGCACCCTCGAGGCAGTTACACAGTGTTAACTGTCTCTGGAAGTGAAAGCACCAGAAAATAAATTAAGTCATACGCAGCTGTCATTCGTACGCAAGGAAGTAAGCACAAGATGCCGAACACCCTTAGCAGGATGCAGCGCACCCTTCATGCGACTCGCCGAATACCTCACGGCGCTTCGCGCTTGGTGATGTGAGAGCCTGGTCCGGTGAGAACCCGGCGTGCTCCGTCCCGGCTTTGTAGGGATGCGAGGTCAACGGTCTAACGACTACGGCATGCACGACTATGAGTACCCCCCCCCCCCCCCCCCCTCCCTGGTTCACGCGAACGCACGGTACAAACCGGGATGTAACCCAGCCCTACACACGCCAGAGGCCCAGAGGCTGTCCTTCGTGTTCCCTTTTTTTTTTTTCAGAAACACAACAATTCCGTATCTTCTATCGATAAGAGTCCTGGAGAGGTTTGTAATGACGTGTGGCATGATGACCGACCTGTATTTCTACGGTTCCCCGAGCAGAGCGTATGGCGATATCCCCCGTGTAATTGTTTCTTGATAACTATCACAACAACACGTGAGCATTGACGTGTAACTTGCTTTGGACTCAAGCCAATCGTCGTCCTAACGCGCGCTTCTTTGACGTGGTCGACTGCACGCTGCGGACGTGACTCGGATGGGAACTGGGGGGGGGTGCCACACGTAGATCGGAGACACGCTCCTCGTTCACGGAGGCCTTCGGCCGGTGAACTTCGACCCGAAAAGCTGCAGGGGCGCGACGGGTATGGCCTGCTTGGAGAGTTTGAACCGGTGAGGAGGACGAGAGGGGATGAGGATCAGAAACAGGAAACGAGGCAGGCAGGAAATGAGAGGATGGAGAACGGCGGACCGAAGCGATCAACGACTTGAAACAAAATCCCGAAAAAATCACTTGCAAAATGTGTAGAAATACGTCGATAATGGTTTTGTACGAGAGCAGGCGGTGTTTGTATGATTGGGTGGTGTGTTTTTCATTCGTTTCTTTGCGTCACGTTTGTTTGTCACGAGTGCGCGTACGACTAACGATTTTTCTTTCCCTCCGTCTCTGAACTTTCATCTTCCTGTCCGGATAGAGGTTCATTTGGGCTCAGGTAGCGCTGTCACACAGCAGTTTCCCGACTGCCCGGAACGATCCCGTCCTAGTACCTCTACACTAAAACCTTTATGTAGCGGCCATTCGTAGCGTAACCCTAGGGACGAAGGACCCACCCCAGCCTAGGCCATAACTAGAGGTTCTCAAGTGCGGCCGCTAAACGGTATCGTACAACCGCACCGGCCGCACCGGTGTACATGGCGTTTTACTCCGGCGGGTTCTCTTCACGATGCAAAAAACAACACACGCACACACACTGCTGTTGCCGCGGCCCAGGTGGACGCACGAGTGGCTCGTCGGCCAGGGCGAGATGCCGAAGGAGCTGTGGAACCGCGACAGTCCCGTGTGGACCAGGTTCTACAGCTCCCCGGGGGGGGTGGAGCTTAGCGAGGAGGCGGAGGCGGACCTGCAGAAGGTGAGATGAGCAGTAAGACGTCGAAACAAAAAACAAGCAAGAAGCACTCCGCAATGTTGCGTGCGTTTGTTAGTTTGCATCGACCGCGCTAATTGGGTGAACGATGAAAAATACCTCAGTCTTACGCATACATCAGTGCGTGGTGTTGCCTTACATCTGCACGTGTGGTGCGTTTGTATTTTTAGTCCGTGACGCGCGTTGCTACGATGTTGGCTAGTGGGCATAGTAAACAGAGACGCAAAACCCTAGTGTAGCTGGTTTCGTGCTATCGTTGAGGGGTGTAATTGTCTCGCGTGGCTCTCGTTGGTACGACTGCTTGGAAGGTTCATCGATCCCCCGCAGGGAGGTGGATTTCGTTTCAAAAGAATTAGAAATACAAGATAGGTAACCCCCCCTCGGCCCGGTTGCTCTTGTCTTTCTTGTACAATATACCTTTTTTCTTTTTGCTCGTGCTTTCCATTGAACAACTACAACAACGGCAAAGGTGCTGGATGCAACGGGAACGGTCCGGATGATCGTGGGGCACACGCCGCAGGAGGCCGGGATCAACAGCGCCTTGGGGGGCAGGCTCTGGCGGACCGACACCGGAATGACCGCCATGATTGGAGGCCAACCAGAGGTGCGGCAGTATAACAATAGCACAGCACGGCAACAAACGAGCTTGCTTTTTCAAGGGGGTGCTGCGGTGACGGATGTGTGTGTGTGTGTGCCCAGAGAGAGTAGGTGGTTGCTTACCCGTGTGCTTGTACCTAGACCAACGGGAGAAGCGAAGGCATTTTGCGCGTGCGAAGAACAGCGGGTGAAGTCGATGGGTTGATGGGACACCGGCCGGCACCAAAACCATGATGTGTGCCAGATAGAAAACACGCCACATATCTGAAACCAACCACACCGGGGAATCGCCTCCGCAGCAGTACCATGTTGCCTCATTTTTCATGGTCACTGTCGTATCGGTCTAAACGAGAGCGAACCCTAGAATGACCACGATAACAATATTATCTTGCCTCTACGTATCTAGGTTTTTCGTATTGAATAGTTTTTTGTTGTTCAACAAAGAGCAACATATATTTATTTATTCGGAACGTGATTCGAACAACCTCTCCCGAACACGACATGGATGCTGCACTGCTGAACACTTGTCTGAAGGCGCTCGAGATCGTAGACGGCGTCGCAACGATCATCACGGCCGGCGGCAAGCGGATACCGGGGGACGAACGAGCGTGCACGGCGGGCAAGCCCCTGCCGCACAAGAGGGCCGTGTCTCAGGCAGAGCGGAGCGGCTGGAGAGGGGCGCGCATGGTGTTCGGGCAGCGGGGCCAGAGCAGCGGCGGGTTGGAGGAGAGGGAGGATGGGTTAGAAGGAGGAGGAGCTGCGACCGCCGCCGCCGCGTAGCGATGATGATGAGCATGATAGTCTACCATTTCTGTTTGCGATGAGTCCGAGTTGGGTCGTCCGCTGGTGGTTTGTTCTCGCCGTTTTTTATGTGCTGTATGCTGCCATCGACACTAATATACGACAACGACGTGAAGAAGAGTGAAGGGACGTTAGGGGTGCCGTGTTTGTCCGAAGGTTAAGACGTAGCTCACACCGTGTGCGCCGTACCGCATCGAAAGCGTGCGCGGTGACCGAAACGGGTAATGCCCCTGGCGTTCATCCCGACGAACGTTTAGACGGAGCCACGGGGGTACCTTTTTGCCATGAGCGCGTAAATGCTACTCCGGGTTGCAGCTATTGTTCTTGCAATGCTACACTCTGATTGGCTTAACGCCGCCAGCATTGCTCTTTTATTTTTTTCACGGGGGCATACCGAACGCGCGAGGCACCCTGAAGCCCCCTCGGATCCCCGATCAGGTCAGGGCAATGGGCCCGGTTTGGTTAGGGATGGCGTTTGGGGTTGGGGTGGCTAGTTCAGACGAAGGTGTGTGTGTGTGCGTGTGTGTGGAATTTTTGCAGACATTGTTGTTTGCAAGACGGTGTTCGTTGCATTTTTGGGGCTCCCGCCCTCGCCATCAATATTTTGTAACTACGGCGGTGGTGGCAGTCAGCGCGTCATTCTCCCTTGAGGAGAGGGGGAAGGACAAGGGCTGTCTGTTCTCAGTCTGGGAAGGGGGGGGGTCCCGCACACAACGCGGCGCATGTTATTGTAAGATTGGCACCGCCACCACCAATCCGCGGAGGCCAAGTAATTCGTCCGTTTAAGTTGTGGAGCGGTGGTTTTTGAACGAAAAAACGATTGGTGGTTGTAGCGGCCATTCGTCTCCTCCGCTCCGCCCCCTTGTAGGGGGCGTGGCCTCGGGTAGGGTTTGAGAGAGTGGTTGTATTGTCACTACAGCAGCTGTATTCCCAGGGTGAATTGTACATAAGTATCTCTGTAGGGCGGGCATGCACATGCGCTCCGTGGTACTACTGCCTGTTGAGTGAGATACTATTTGGCGATGAGGAGAGATCGGGCGGTTTGAATGTGAAGACATAAACAGTGACGACCACGACAACAACCACAACAGAGCGTTGTAGGATACACCGTCCGCGGGCTTGCGATACACACAAAGGGCACCCTTTGCCATGCGATATCTCTAGATGCGATAAAAACGCTTTCCATTTGTTCAAATCTCAGATCTACGAGCTCAGAGAATGTCGAAACATTTTCGGAACCAATCTCCGTTCCGTACCGTTCAGCATCCCGCCGCGAACTAGACCTGTCTGTCTCTTTACGCTCTCTGCTCTCTGCTTGTTGCCTTAGGGCACTGCACACAATAGGGCGGTGAAGCAGGGAGAGGGCAGAGAGAGGGCATGGAAGCAGAAATGTCGAGGGCGGGTAACTGCCATCGTGCCATCGCCCCTAAAAGGATGGGATTGCTCCTCCTGACGATGCTACTGCTCGTGTCATCATCAGCGCGACCAACATGCGCGCACGCTTCGCGCAGCACGCCGGGTCGCTCCCCCTTCGCATTCCACACTCCCACCCCGCCCAGCGGCCTCAGCGGCACCAGAAGCAGGCGATCCTGCGTATCATCAGACATTAGAGGAGCGCAGCGGATTGACAACTTGCGGCGAGAGCACCATGGCCGGACGACGTTGCGAATGCTGCTCCCGATCATGATGGATTCTTCTCGCCCTGCTGGGGAATTGTCCGCGGCAGCAGCATCAGGCGCGGGGGATGTCGCTGCTGCCGCTGCTGGCGGTAGTTCTCCTGCAGTGCAAACCACGAGGTTGCGGGCCTTTGAGTCTACTGTACAGAAATGGTGAGAACGAGTAGAAGTGATGCGTTTTTCGCCCTTCCGCCCATCCCCCTGGGAACAGGCAGGCCTCGCGAGGTTCTCGTTGTACAGCAGTATGCATACTGTACTCTCTGAAGCCGTCGTCCTCACAAGCGGAATATCGTGTGACACAGACGAATCCCGGGTGCCCGAAGAACATTGGGTTCTTGCAAAGGGTTGAACCAAACTGGCAGGCCGGCTCGACCCCTGGTGAGCAGCAACAACACCACCAACCACCACAACAACAACAACAACAACAACAACACAACCCTCAACGAACGGTGCCTCTCCCGTTCCGTTTGTTCTGCAGGTGCGATCGCGCCACGTCCCTGTTCCCTGCGTGGGTGCTGGGAGCCGCGGCCGTCGGGATGTTGCGGCCGGCGGCGCTCTCGTGGTTCAACAGCGGCCTCATCACGGCGGCTCTGGCCACGACCATGGTGAGTTTGGATTGAAACTATCAACTTATCGGAGCGTGCTTCAAGGGTGCCCCCCCCCCCCCCCCAAAAAAAAAAAGAATATGAAGTTCCCCCCTTGGTTTCCCCGCTGAATTTCAAAACTTCCAGCGGGATTATATCATAACCATAACATCCCAACCACGGATGTTATGGGCGGCACCCAGAGAAATATTAGTATTCGTTGTCCTCGAAAAAACATCATCATGACAACCATCGCCATCATCAACACCATCGTTTCAGGACGTACGTTAAAAGTCATCGCCCAATCAGTCCTCGGAGGGACATTTTCGAAGAGAAAATCTTGCTTTCAAATCACGGAGGACATGCCTGTTGCAAGTGCGATTCCGGCACAGATTTTCTTGAATTTTATCGTCTCGCGTGTTCAGGTTTGCATGGGAATGACCCTCACCCTGGAAGACTTCGCCGCCGTCGCTCGAAAGGCCCCGGCCGGTCATGGCGGGCGTTGCCGCTCAGTACACAGTCATGGTGAGCCAATGGGGGGGGGGGGACAGAGACCAGCAAGTGCTGCTCAGTTTTGGGTCACAAGGGAGTCTGCAGGGGACACGAGAGACCGAGGTTTCCGCTCAATACAGTAGGAGTCGATAGGGGGAAAGAGACGACCATTGTTGCCGCTCTGTACACAGTCATAGTGAGCCAAGGAGGGGACGAGAGACCACCATTACCGTTCAATGCACATATTAACTCCGGGGCGGTCGATATGTACCAACGTCATGCCGGTCCTATGACACAAGTAAGGCATGCATGCAACTTTCACGAGCAACTCCCTTCCGCCCGGTTCCCCCGCCCCCGTCCCCCGGCGTGTTCTCTCTTCACCCTCGTGGCGGCGGCGGCGGCGGCGGGGGAATGACACTGCTTGCTGCTTCTTCTACACCGGCGCGAAACAACGAACAACGCAACGAAAACAAGCCTTTTCTGGGCTTTCTTTCGGGGAGACTGTTCAACCTTCCGCCGGGTCTTGCCGCCGGAGTTACCCTTGTCGGCTGCTGTCCAGGTAGGTGGGTGGGTAGGGGGTCGGGGGCGGGGGCGGGGGGCGGGAGAGAGAGAGACCATTTCTTTTTGTCACGCGACGGAGACAGGGCTGGGGATGTCTGCCGTTTTCCGGCGGTAATAACTCCCCCACGGGCTGCTGTTCGATGGGATGAGGGGAAGAGCGGAGCGGGAGGGTTGGCATATGTTACATGCGATAGTCCTGTAGTCCCCCCGTGGGCTGGTGTCCGGTGGGATGAGAGGTTGGGCGGAGAGGGCGGAGAGGGCGGCTTGGCATACGTTGCACGCGATATGCCTGCCGTGCTGCTGTGCTCATGTTCGGCTCTTTAGATTAGGGCCCAGATTTTTTGTTCTACCGGAATATGTTACAAGTTATAGTTTCTTTTGCCGTTCGTTTTTTTGTGTATGGCGGTGGCAGGAGCGTCCGCAGGGCGCATGGTGACCAAATGGAACAATTTCATTACAGCATTGTTGGGTGCGGGCTTGTAAGGTGTTGGTGTGCCATGGCATAAGCCTACGAGGCACTGTGCACACATCGTTCATGTGATGGGTGGTATGAGGAATATAAGTACTGCGGGGAAGCAATGCGTGAGTTGTAGGTTACATTGGATGATACCAGGAATACTCGCGTCGCAGATGAGTGAGTGATGCGTGTGAGCAACGCCCTCATCGCAGGCTGATGAGACCACTAACTTCAGCGTATTCTACAGAGAGCATTCTCTTCAAGAAAGCAATCCCACGTCAGGGCCACTTTGCAAAATTGTTTCGTTGTGCCTTCTTTGGGGTGCACTGGTCGGTGAAACCGTGCGCGAGCAGCGCCAGCACACAAAAGATGAAGACAACACTCCTCGATGCCCACCCCTCTGTTGTCCACCGCCATATAGGTGGCACGGCGTCGAACCTCGTCACCCTTATCGCGAACGGGGATGTGGCGCTGTCGGTGTCGATGACGACGGTGTCTACCCTGTTGGCGGCCGTAATTACGGGACCCCTCACGAAGTTTCTCGTCGGCGCGCTGGTGGACATTAGCGCTGTGACTCTGATGAAGGCTACGGCGCAAGTGAGACCCAGCTGACGACTGGCGTTGTTGCTCCTGAGGGTGCAAGCTCTCGTATCGACCAGGAAATCGTTGCACTCTCCCGGACGATTCAACCAATAATACGTTTTTGTCCAGAAATGATTTGTTCGTGAGGCATGTGTTTTTCTTCTTCCATGATGCTGCCGTGGTGCGGAGAGACAAGCACCCCGCCTGCGTGGTGGTGGTGGCGATGGTGGTGGTGGGCACGTGCGTGCTTATTTTTGGCTTGCTTCTTGCGTTACATGTGACGTCACAAGTAGCACCGTAGACCGACACTATAATACCACCAACACCATAACCACAACCAACAATAACAACAAAAAAACACACGACAACCCATCACGACAAAAACAGGTGGTGTTTTTGCCGGTGGCGATGGGGCTGCTGCTGAACACAAGGGCCAAGGGGATCACCCGCCGCCTTGCCCCCTACACGCCGCTCCTGTGAGTATTCGTGTAAGAGTTAAATCAATTCGACGGCCTAGTTACGAGATCGAAAGTCCAATGGGTCATCGTTGTCCTGGCTCTGCTTCACCCTCACGGCGATAGTTTGGGAAGACCACAAGAAACAAAGCGCGCAATAGCGTTGGGTGTCGTCTGCGAGCAGCAGCAGCAGGTGGCTTCGAAAGAGGCCGAAAGAGAAGGGAGGTCGAAGGTTGGCTCAAGGACCTTTATCGACCACCGAGATGAGCGAGCGAGAGACACGGGCGAGGCACCAACCACCTCGCTCGTCATGCCCATACCCCCCCCCCCCTGCCGCCGTAGATCAACGCTCTTTGCTTGAGTACATATATACCCCCGAACGATCGCCTCCACCCAACCACTGTCTGTTTTCCTTGCCGTCCTCCCCGTCCTCCTGTTCACATAGCTGCGTTGCCCTGGTGGCGATGATCTGCGGCAGCGTCGTTGCAGCAAACTCGTCCATCTTGCTCGGGTCCGGCGCTGCCCTCGTCGGCGCGGTCCTGACTCTGCACGCGGGCGGGTAAGCGGTCCCAAGTCTAGTCGAGCGGGGCTGGGGTGCTCGTGCTTGGCATGCCTTAGCGGTTACAGAGCATTGACCACGCGTCGAGAGGACGGAGCATTGGACCGATCGTCGATGACCAATCGTTCCTTACTACGCGGAGGGGGCATAATTGCACATGGCGTCTTCGAGAGGGTACCGCAGCAGTACTTCCCTTTTGCATGACACAGCGCGGTCGGCCTGTACCATTGTAGCTCATCCGGCGTCACACGAATTGGAGAGAGTTGAAACGGGGGTGCGCGATTTCACGACCATTGTTCGAGTCCAAAAGAGCCCAAACAAGTGCGGCCCCTCTCGAAACTCTCAACTCTATCAAGCTGTCTCTGTATTCTTTATTCACGCGAGACTGTGCTGGATTATTTCCTCCAATCACGCCGCTTCATTTTTTCGGTCTTCTTCGAAGGGAGAGGTTCCTCATCAACCCCAATCGGTTCTCATGACCACCTACATTCCCGTCCCTGTGTGCCAGCCATCCTCCCCCAACCACCATTCGTAAGAACAGTGTTTTCAACACTCTCGCCTCCGGGGCTGCAATTTTGGTCGGCCTACGTAGGCTCGACCAGCGCCATCCTGGCTTTGAAGCGGGGGGGTCTGTGTACGGTCTGTGATAATTTTCCCACCCACCCCCCAAGTAGCACCCTTCATGCGACTCGCCGAATACCTCACGGCGCTTCGCGCTTGGTGATGTGAGAGCCTGATCCGGTGAGAACCCGGCGTGCTCCGTCCCAGCTTTGTAGGGATGCGAGGTCAATGGTCTAACGACTACGGCATGCACGACTATGAGTACCCCCCCCACCCCCCCCAAGTAGCCCGCCCCCGGTGTTGCCATCAGGGTTGGGTTTTCATCGCTTAGCAACGGCGTTGTTAAATCCAATCACTTCGTGAACTCTGCAACCAGGTTACCGCTTTTTTATTGCCTTTGTTTTGTTTTTTGCGGTACAGTAACCATGAATGGTCGTTGAGTAGATCATGTTGTGCGGGTCGAGAACCCTCACTCCGCGCAAAGGGGATGATTGCACCACGTTGTGTTAAAATGGTAAAGCACCCTCGAGGCAGTTACACAGTGCTTACAACTGTCTCTGGAAGTGAAACCACCAGAAAATAGATTAAGTCATGCGCAGCTGTCATCCGTACGCAAGGAAGTAAGCACAAGATGCCGAACACCCTTAGCAGGATGCAGCTCACCCTTCATGCGACTCGCCGAATACTTCATGGTGCTTCGCGCTTGGTGATGTGAGAGCCTGGTCCGGTGAGAACCCGGCGTGCTCCGTCCCGGCTTTGTAGGGATGTGAGGTCAATGCTCTGACGACTACGGCATGCACGACTATGAGTACACCCCCCCCCTCCCAAGTATCCTGGTCCGGTGGTACCCAGCGTGCTCCATCCCGGCTTTGTAGGGATGCGAGGTCAATGTCTAACCACTACGGCATGCACGGCTATGAGTACACCCCCTCCCCGTCCTCCCCGTCCCAGTCCCCTCCCCTCCCTCATTTGTATACAGGATTGAGAACTTATCGACTACCGGGCGTCTCAAGTGTTGAGCCTGGGTGTCGACCTCATCACCAACTTTAATAGGCACACCAAAACCAAAGCATCAGACTACATAGTCAGCGCTGACAAGTCCAATGGTTTGATTTTGTCTTCTGTTAGTGCCCGAAGTGGTGGGGACGTAGTCGATGTCAAAGACTAAATAAATGGCCGTGGCACCCAACAGCCGAGTATGTCCCCCCCCCCCCCCCTATGAGGAGGAGAGTATCGCGTATGGGTAGGAAAAGA